CTAGGAAGGGACCACCATTCAGCCCACTGTGGTCTTCCCTCTGTTTCTCCCCTTCTCCCCAAATTCATGTCTTTCCCCATGTGCAGAATACACTCACCTCATCCCATCATCCTCAAAAGGCTTACCTCTGAGGGAGCTCTGGTGGCCTACTGGCAAGAAGCTGCACTGCAATCCCAGAGGTACGCAGTTCGAATCCATAAGATGCTCTGCTGGAGAAGGAGGGGCAATCTCCTCCTGTACCGCCCAGATCCGATTTGACGGTCGGTACACACACACAAAAATAGTAAAATTTAGTAAAAAGAAAGAAAAGGGGGGGGGAAGGCTTATCCCTTAGAGCATCAGCTTGACGATCCCACATCTCACCTTCTGAACCATCTCCGTGTCAAGGTTTGGGGGAGACGCTGCGGATGGTCCATCGGGGACAAAAATCCCTCTCCCCCTGCAAACCCAGGAGCTAGAGGACAAAGTATTTGCTTCCAAAATGCAATGATGGGACAGGTGTGAGATAGACATTGACATTCCCAAAAGGAGAACTTGGAAGGCAGTCGGTAGTTAGGGATCTCGAGCAAGTTTCCAGAGCCAGCAGGTGGCATCTCATAAGGTTCCAAGACCTGGGCAACATTACCCGTGTCTCTGGACTGACTCATGGACACAGCAGCTTCACACAGCAACTCAGGGAGGTGCCCGCCCCATTATGGATGCGAAGCTGAGGTTGAGTGACATATCAGTAGTTCCAAAGCTAATCAGTGGGAGGGCGGCTTTGAACTTGGACTGGGCCCTGTGTCTTCAGCGCAGTGTTCGCAGTACAGGAAAGATGAGAACCTGAGGCCCAGAGAGGTTGATCACACTAGGCAAGATCACACAGCTGGGAGTGAAAATCTGCAGAGACCTGTCCCTCTCCCTGCCTGGCCTCGGGGTGGCATCTGAACTGCCTTGGTTTCTCCTCCAGAAAGTATTAATAGAAGCACCCCACTTACCTAGTTCAGTCTGAATATAAATTATCTCTTCTCTCTTCTGCTTCTAAAAACACCAAAGGACTCTTGCAAGTTCAAAAGTAAAAATAAAATGAGGGAGCTGGTGCAGTGGTTGTAGCCAGTGGGGGACATCCCAGGGGAAACTAGGGTGATTTGGGAGGTTTAGGGTTTGGGTTTTTAAGCGTTAGGTGGTTTCAGAGAGTGGTGTAAGGAGCCCCAGTGGCATAGTGGGTAATGTGTCCACATAACAGAAAGGTCAGTAATTCAGGTCCACCAATCCCTGCACAAGAGGAAAATGAGAAGTTTCCTGTGTAAAGATTTACCAAAGCTAGAGATTGTCAGAGAGTTAGACAATGACCAGGGAGGATAGAAGGAGAATCGATGCCTTTGAGCTGTGGTGCTGGAGAAGAGTATTGAGAATACCATGGACTACTAGGAAAACAAACAGATTTGTCCTGGAAAGAGTTAAACCGGGTGGCTCCTTGGAGGCAAGGATTCTGAGGCTCCATCTAACTTACTTTGGACATGTTGTGAGGAGAGACCGGTCCTTAGAGAGGGACATCATGCTTGGGAGGGTGGAGGGACAGCGCAGGAGAGAAGGCCCTCTAGGAGGTGGATTGATTCAGTGACTGGGATAATCGGGATGGGAGTGTCAGAGACAGTGCGATTGGCACAGGACAGAGCGGAGTTTAGGGCTGTTGTACATAGGGTCGCTATGAGTCGCAGGCGACTCGACGGCAGATAACAACAACAACAACAAGAGATTGTCATGCTTCACAATCTGTGTGGCCCCATCGGTGGGTGCTGGCCAGGCTCCGCGGGTCCCACGATTGGATATAATCACCTCGGCTTTGGGTGCGTGTCCACATCTTAGATACCCTCTTGTGCCCAATTCCAGCTTCTTGAGTGCGTGAGGGTGACAGCCCAAGGAAGAATTCAAGAGTGCTGCTCTGAGCAAGGAACTCTACCTTTTCTGGGCCTCAGTTTTCCTCACCTGTAAAAGGGGAGCCGTGGTATGCTCACCCTGACCATGTTGTCAGGAAGAGAACGCGTTGTGTTTGGCCAGGGCCTCCCTCTCTGTGTTGGTGATGTCAGTGAGCACCTCAGCGCCCCGCCATGTTGGAGTCAGGACCCAGCTTCTGAGCCCCCACCCGGTGGGTGCCAGGCATTTGGAAAGATTGCAGGCTGCTTGGAAAGGCACGTCGCCACGTGGCAGTTAACAGTGTGCTGCCAGCGTTGGGCAGGGCTTTTCCTCTCTGTTCAAGGGGAACAGCAAGGCTACCCACCTCTTAGGGATATCTGAGAATTAGATGAACGCATAATGTGTAAAAGGAGCTCTTCATGGTGCAGTGGTTAAACACTGGACTGCTAACTGAAAGGTTGACGGTTCAATCCATCAGACACTCCACTCGAGAAAAGCCTGCAGCCAGGAAGTCCCACCCTCTCCATTCGGGTCACTAAGAGTCAGAATCAACCGGAAGGCACACAGCACGGCAAAGAGAAGTGGGGGCACGGGGAAGAGCATGGGGCGCTTTTTAGAAGGAGCCAAACCTTGGTGAGGGAGACCTTTTGGACCACAGAGCCTCAGGAGACAAGAGTCTTTGAGATGATGGACAGCAGATGACCTGGCATTTGGGGAGATAGACTTTGCCAGGGCCTGGGCCCAGGACCTGGAGGAGGACAGACCCCTTAGTTGGAAGTTAAGGGCCCAGAAGATATTTCTAAGTGCAAACAGAGCACAATCTGACCACGTGGAGTTCATGCAGTGGGTAAAACCTGCATCTGTGTCCACCAAGGGCAGACTCCAGTGGACCCCAGAACCCCCTCATCTGGCCCCAACTCTCAGGGCCTCTGGGGAACTTTGGGTAAATCTGCTAATGAAAGGAGGCCAGGCCCAGGGAGCATTCTGGGCATGTGGGTCTCTCCAGGCCCTCAGTGTCCTCATCTGCACAATGGGCTGTGAGCTGCTCCTTTGACAAGGAGTGTGCACCCGGCCCTGCTCTGAGCACGGGGAACAGGGGCCTGAAGGACACAAACAGAACTGAGCCCTGAGCCTGGTGGTGCTGGCATGCCAGGGCATAGAGGCAGAGAAGCTCGTCAGACTCAATGGGGCATCTTCTCCAAACATGCTCAGACTCTGTGCCTCGAACCCTGGTTGTACGCACCAGCTATTTCACTGACTTCGGGGACCAAACTCATGCCTCCTGCCCTACTCTCACCCACCCCCTTTCACATCTGGGAGCATCTGCCTCTCTGTTGCTCCTCACACCCCACCAGTGTGGTCCCCACCCCAGGGCCTTTGCACTGGCTATTTCCCCCATCTTCCCATGCCTCCTCCCTCCTGCCACTCTGCTCGTTCCTTTCTATTGTCACCTCCCATCCCCCCACAAAAGGCCACACCTGAGCATCTGAAGTGCCCATCTCATCCCTTCTGCCCAGGTCCCCCATCCTGGGAAATTATTTTGTTCATTTAACTGCTGTATGACCTTGGGAAAGAGTCTTAACCTATCTGAGCTTTGTTTTTTTCCCCATCTGTAAAATGTTGCTGGTGATTGGCTGAGGATTTTAGTGTCTATGAAGTGTCTATTGTTATTCTTTTTAGTATTAGTATTATTTATTAATGGATAGTGAAGAGATTGAGATTGTTAACAGTTTTAGTTTGCTTGGCTCCACAATCAATACTCTTAGTACCAGCAGCCAGGAAATCAAGAGACGAATTGCATTGGGAAAGTCAGCTGTCAGGAATCTCTCCAGAGTCCTGAAGAGCAGTGACGTCAGACTGGAGACTAAGGTGTGCCTGATCCCAGCCGTAGTCTTCACAACTATGTGCTATGAGCCAGAGAGCTGGACAATAACCAGGGATGATAGAAAGGGATTTGATACCTTTGAGCTATGGTGCTAGGAGAACAAGCAGGTTTGTCCTGGAGAGAATGAAACTGGGCTGCTCCTTGGAGGCAAGGATTCTGAAGCTTCGTCTGACATACTTTGGGCATGTTGCAAGGAGGGACCAGTCCTTGGAGAGGGACGTCATGTTTGGGAGAGTGGAGGGATGGTGCAGGAGAGGTAAACCCTCGATGAGATGGATCGATTCAGTGATTGGGGTAGTGGGAGTAGGTGTGTCAGAGACAGTGAGGTTGGCACAGGATAGAACACGGTTTAGGGCTCTTGTACATGGGGCCACTGTGAGTCGCAAACATCTTGATAGCACCTAACAATATATAGTTGACTAAGGCAGGGATTGGGAACACAGAATTCCTGCGCAGAACACAGGCTGATTATCCTTTACAGATGACCCTTCGGTAGCATGGGAGTGAACCAACCCCATGGACATAACTGATATAAAAACAAATACACAGCACTTAGGTTGACCAAAAAAAAAGGAGAGAAAAAAATATCTGTGTATAAATAGACCCATGTGTTTCAAACCATGTGGTTCTAAAGTCAATCACATGCAAACTGTGCTGCTGGGAGGGCCCATCCACGCTCCAAGCTTTCAAACCAGGTGCCGTTTCCTCCATAGAGGTGATCTCCTGGCTCTGCTTGTGCCCCCGCCCCACAAATGCTACACGCCCCATCCTGCCCAGGAGACGCAGACAGAAAGGAAGCATGAGCTGGTGTGAGGGGTCCCAGGCTCCAGTGGAAGGTCCTTTCTCCCAATGATTTGCCCCATTTCTGCCCGAGGGAGTGAGCTTGTCCCCAGGAACATCCCTCCTGGCAAAGGAGGCATCAAGGCGGTATCCTGAGGGATGGGAAGTTACAAGGTCACATGGGGTTCGTGTCACCCACATATTGGTTAAACCTGGAGGGCCCAGGAAGAAATAAGGAGAGGGAGTTACCAGACCTGTCACTTGACAGTCACACCTGTCACTTGACAGTCCCAGGTCATGATTTCTAAACAGGAATCAACTGCCCTCAGCATCTCGGGTCTGCAGGTCAGAACCTTGGTGGGGACTCTTGGGTGAAATAGCTGGTCTCTGTCACCCTAATTCAACTGGTGGGTCTTTCTCATTGATCTGTCTTCCTCAGAGAGAACCAGGGCTCTGGGGTCCCCGTGTCAGGCCCCAACCTGTCGACCACCCGGCCGATCCAGCAAGACCTGGGCCGCCAAGACCCGCCGCTGGCCGAGGACATCGACAACATGAAGAACAACAAGCTGGCCACCGCGGAGTCAGCCAATCCCCATGAGAGCCTTGGCCACACGGGCCTGCCCCAGAGCCCGGCCAGGACAGGCAACAGCACCGAGCCCGGGCCCACGCCAGCCCCACCCGCCACGGCCGCCAACCCCCAGAACGCCGCCAGCCGCCGGACGCCCAACAACCCGGGGAACCCGTCAAACCCCGGCCCCCCCAAAACTCCCGAGAACAGCCTTATTGTCACCAACCCCAGCAGCTCCCAGACCAACTCAGCTAAGACTGCCAGGAAGCCCGGCCACACCGCGGTGGACATCCCCCCCGCCTGCCCGGCCCCCCTCAACCACACTGTCGTCCAAGGTGAGACACCCTGACCCTTACACGCCACTGAGTGAGACCATGCGTCCCGGGAGCCAGGCTGCATCCCAGCCCCGAGATACTGGCCTCAGTTTTCTCCCCTGTAAAATGGGACGAAACACAGTTTTTGCTGCACGGGCTGCCGGGGGTCTGGATGAGACCGCAGACATACAGGGCCTGACACACACCATGCTCAGTGAGGGTTACCGGTGTGTCCTGCGGCCAAGTTCCCCACACACACAGCTGGGGAGCCCCTGAGCTCGAGGAGCAGAGAATTGCTTACTTAGATGAAAGTTTGGTGAACTGCTGATTCTATAGGCGAGCACCATCCCCTCAAAACACAACCCGGAGCTCATGTCATTTGACACTTTCTAGTAACCATATAGGAGGGCTTCTGTGGTCTGGGGGGTAAGGAGGCTGTACTGCCAACCCAAAGGCAGTCGGTTCAAATACACCAGCTGCTCTGTGAGAGAAAGGCAGGCCGTCTCCTCCCATGCAGTTGGCTGCCTCTGCAGACCCGCTGGGGGGTCAGCTATGAGTCGCTTCCAACTCAGCAGCCAGAACGAGGACAACAGTAGCCACACAGGGTCCTGGTGTCACAGTGGATTAAGCACTGGGATGCCCACCGGAGAGGCCAGTGGCTGGTAAAGGCGGTCAGCGTCTGTCAAGATCTGCCGTCTAAACCCGGCCTTGTCCGCACAGTCGCCACCACGTCCAGGCCCCTGGCTGCAAGCAGTGTGGTGATGTTCCGTTCATCTGCAGGGACTCTGTCGAACAGTGTTCCCACGCTTCCTCAGACGGTTTTCGAGAACCTGTTATTTCAGAAGTGCAGGGCCTGTCCCGCTGCTTAGAAGCTCTGCGGAAACCTGGCCGCTGTGGGTCACTCTGCTGGGGGTGTGGGGTTGTGTTTTGGAGGGTTTTTTAAATTTTATTTTTAAGGGAGCTCTGGTGGCCTAGTGGCAAAACGCTGCACTGCAATCCCAGAGGTAAGCAGTTCAAATCCACCAGATGCTCTACTGGAGAAGGAGGGGGCAATCTCCTCCTGTACCATTCAGATCTGATTTGACGGTACACGTAAAAATAATACAATTTAAAAAAAATTATTTTCATTAGTTTGCATACAGAACTCATATACATAGTGTTTCACACTTTCCTTCCTTCACATTGTGTTTCATACAGTCATTCCCCTGCATTGTGTTTTTGTTTTGTTTTGGGGGGTGTGGGGGGGTGTTTTATAAAATGAATCATCATTGAACTATGCCCATCCTTAGCCCATCTTCTCAAGCTCCCATTTTTTACCCTCCTCCCTCCACCCACCAAACTGTGCCATCCTGTGGTTTCCCCCTCCCCCCCCTCACCCTTCTCTCCCCACCCCTTCCCCCCTCCTTGGGAAGGTGACCCCTTGGGCACCATACACCTTTCTGCTGGTTTTGTAAGATATGAGTAGTGTTGCTTCCAGCACCACACAAGCCACCTCTGCGTGGCAGACAGAGCAGCGGTGGACTCTGTGCTGGGGGTGGGGTCACTATGACCTGGAGTCCATTCAAATGCAGCAGTGAGTCTAGTGTGGTTAATAGCCACGTAGTAAGCACTCGGCCACTAGCCGAAAGATTGGAGTTTACAAAACACCTAGGTATACCTCAGAAAAAAGGCCTGGCGATCTGTTTCTGAAAGGTCACAGCCATTAGAATCCTTGTGGAGTGCGGCTCCGCCCTGTCACACCCGGGGTCACCCTGTGAAGTGCACCTCTGCCCTGGCACCCGCAGGGTCACCTTGTGAAGTGCAGCTCTGCCCTGGAACACCTGGGGTCACCCTGTAGAGCACTGCTCCACTGTGTCACACATGGGGGTCCCCCAGTGGAACACAGCTCCGCCCTGTCACACGGGATCACCTTGTGGAGTGCACCTCGGCCCTGGCACCCACGGGGTCACCCTGTGGAGCGCAGCTTTGCCCTGACACACATCAGGTGCTATGAGTTGGAAAAGGCTTGGCAGTAACTAGTGTTTTATTTAGAAGCCACATAAATAAAAGCCAAAATGAAGCAGCAGAACTTTTTTAACATTAATCTTATATATAAAATGATTGTTTCTGAATGAAATCACCCTTTTTTAAATCATGCTCAATGAGACGTCTGACTTTGTTTTCCACACTCGGTCTTTGGAACCTGGCGTGTCTTTGACGTTTACACCATGTCTCAGTTTACACTCCCGTGTCCCACTCCCCCATGCCTGTAGCTGCCAGGTCGACCAGCACACATTCTGCTCGATCAAAGATTAACAGGTTTTGCCCACTGGAGAGTAGAATCAAAGTAGCTATGAGAATTTAAAACAACCCACTGAGCATACTATTTCCTGAGAGGCTAAAAGTAGCTCAGATCCGCTAGTGTCAGTTCTGTTTCCTTGGATTTGCTCAGTAAATTCTCACCACGGTCCTACAAGTCAGGGCTTGCCATTATATTCATTTTAAAGAAGGGGATCCTGCTGGCCCATGGGCACGTTGGGGAGCAGAGCTGCAGGACTGAGGATACTCAGGTATCCAGTCAGAGGAGAGACACTCTCTGGGGGCAACCCTGCTGTTTGACTGTGGAGGGACTCAGTATTCCCATCTGTGAAGTGGGGCTGTTGGAAACTACCCTGCCTGCTTTCCCATGACAGTGACAATTGAAGGCCAAATGGGATGACAGCTGAACAGTGTTAACTTCCGTGAGAGTTCCATGAGATCCGTAGAGTGGTGGGGAGCAGGCACTGTGGGGCCAGGCTGCCCTAGATCAAACCCCAAGCTCTGCTGTATTGCAGCTGAGACCTTGAAAAGATCTCTCCACCTCTCTGTGCCCATCTCATCATCTGTAACGTGGAAATAACCCAAGTACAGGCCTCATAAAGTCACCTGAAGATCAGGAGCCGTAATGTGACAGCTTGTACACAGTGGGCGTTTCAGAAGTGTTGGCTGGTTGTTACCTGCTCTGGGGGGGGGGGCACACAGGAGCCCAGGGGCTTGTGGGAGATTATAGAAGGAGCCCAATGTTGGTTCTTATCCCAACAGTGAACAAAAACGCCAACCCAGACCCACTGCCACAAAAGGAAGAAGAGAAGAAGGAGGAGGACGATGACCCCGGGGAAGACGGCCCCAAGCCCATGCCCCCCTACAGCTCCATGTTTATCCTGTCCACGACCAACCCGTGAGTATGACACGTGACGAGTGCCGGGGCCCGAGGGCCCGCTGACACGAGGGAGGTGGGCCAGCAGGCAGGCCAGGCAGAGGCCAGGCCAGTGAAGACAGTGGGATCAGCCGGGCCACTGCTCGGAGAGTTACCTCAGAAGGGCCTCTTTTTCAAGTTCTCATCAGATGGAAGATGATCATAATATACTCATTTTCTTGAAAAAAAAAAAAGACAGCTTCCAGTCATCGACAAAAAAATGCTTGTTCCAAATCTGTGCTAGCGAGAGGCCAGGCCGGGAAGTGGCATCCTTGTGCAGTGTGCGATTCGCACAGCCGTCCAGGGCAGCCCTGGGCCTGGCTTGACTTCTGCAGTTCTCCGGGGTCTGCATCCTGGGAAGACCGTCTCTACCTCCCATGCCTCTCTGCGCTGTGCTGTGCAGGAGGAATGCTTCAGAGGGGAATTTATCACGTGCATCCCAGGCTGGTTCAGGGGTGGCTTTTACAAAGGGTAGTTCTGAAAGTCCTGTCCTCTCCAAATGCTTCGTGGCAAAGAAAGATCATGTCAGATAAGCTGAGACAAACTGCTTCTTATAACCTGCCTCTTGGAGACCTGCCCTGTGCGTTGCAATTTATTTTATTTTTTTTTTTTTAGCCAGCTGGCTTGCTTATTTTAGCAAGTAAATACAATAGAGAAATATTTATCTGGCACTTACTCTGTGCCAGGCACTGTGCTGAGTAAAAATCCCCATAGCCCTACAGGGCCGGTACTATCCTCATTCCCATTTTACAGATGAAGAAACTGAGGTCTGGAAAGGTAAAGTCACCTACCTGAGATCACACAGAGAACCAGTGTCTCCCACTGGAACTTCAGTCGGTTTGAATTTTCATTCTTACAGCATTATTATCACTTCACCTTGGCGCTTAAGTAGCTACGTATCGTCCCGTTTGTGCGTCTACAGGCTCTGAGAAGGCCCGCAACCTCTCATTTCAGTAACTTAACCTTTTTGAGCCGCAACCTCATGTCAAACATCTATTAATTCTTTTAATCTTGTGAAAATGCCTTTCACAGATGAGGGCACTGAGACTTGGAAGGACTAAATAATTTGCCTCAGATCACACAGCCGATTAAAAACAAAAAAATCTGTCTACCTATCCCATACTTTTACATAATGGCCATGTTGTTACAGCTGATAACACAGCAACACTTAGTACAATTTATGTACACCTTGGCCCATCCTGTGCCATCCTCACCGTCTCTGACACACTTGAGCCCGTTGCTGTTGCCACTTTGTCAATCTATCTTGTCGAGCGTCGTCTTCTCTTACGTTGACCCTCCACCTTTCCAAGCATGATGTCCTTTCTCCCAGAACTGGCCCCTCCAGACTGGCTCAGAGTATGTGAGACAGAGTCCCACCATCTTTGCCTCTGGGGAGCACTCTGGGTTCACTTTCTCTGAGATAGACTGATCTGTTATCTTGGCCATCCATGGGCTATTCAATGCATGGGCTACTCTTCTCCAATACCACACAAAGTCATCTTCTTCTTCTTCTCTTACTCCTTGTCCAACCTCCAGATACATAGCGAGTAATTGAGAAGACCGAGGCTTCGATCAGGTGCACCTTAGTCTTCACACTGACACCATTACTCTTCAGTATTCTGGAGAGGTCCCCAACAGCAGATTTTCCTAGTGTGATAGGTCTTGATTTCTTTGACTGCTGGTACCAAGGGTGTTGGTTGTGGAACAAAATAGGATGGTATTATTGGCAATATCAATCATTTCCTCATCTATCATGGTCTTGACTACTGGCCCAGTGGTAAGGACATTTGTTTTCTTGATGTTGAGATGCAATCCATATTAAAGGCAGTCATAGGTCTGCAACAGATGCTTCAAGTGCTCCTCGCTTGTAGCAAGCAAGGTTGTGTCATCTACATAGCAGATATAGGATGCTCCAGTAATAAAAAGCTTTTATATATATTCAGCACTTAAGGCACTATCTCTTCAACCCAACCTGGGATTCAAGATGTTGTGTGAAGGTTGTTTAGAAATTATAACACTTGCGGGGAGAGATTGTATAACAATGAAAGAATTTTTCTTTTACTTTTCAAAGAGAGGAGTGAACTGACAGGGAGGGGTGGGCAGGGAGAAAAGTGCAACAATGAATGAATGGAAATCCAAAGTCTCTGTAAATTTTCACTAAAATTAATAATAATTTTTTAAAAAGAGAAATTATAAGGATTTATAAACAGGGCTATGAATATCTTCCTTAGTTGAGGTTCCCTGAGTCTTGGGGTTCCAGGCACTCAAGAGGGCCTCCAGCTGTAGCTGCTTAATGGCTTGTTGCATATTATATATAATTCTACATATAATGGTTTGTTGCCTTGGAGGTTGGAACTATCAAGGGCTCGAGGATGATAGGTGGGAATTATGAAAGGAAGGGCATTATGAAAGGAGCCTGTGGTCTGAGTGGACCTCTGTCTGTCTCCGACAGCCTTCGCCGCCTGTGCCATTACATCCTAAACCTGCGCTACTTTGAGATGTGTATCCTCATGGTCATTGCCATGAGCAGCATCGCCCTGGCTGCTGAGGACCCTGTGCAGCCCAACGCACCTCGGAACAATGTGAGTCCCACGAAGCAGGCCCCTGCCTCGCCTCTTCCGTCATCCAAGAAAGATTGTAGCTGGAAGAGGTTGGGGAACACCTTCTGAGGCAACATTAAACAGGGTTGCATGAACTAATTATCAAAATATTGAAACACATCAATGCAGGTTGGAAAAAGGCTGCGTCCTCCCTCCTACAAGGGCCCAGCTTTGCCACTCTTGTGGGGCCTGGCAAGTGGATATCAAGTGGGCACCACTGCTGGGCACCCCTTGGCATGAGAGAGGAAACACCAATCTTGGGGGGGCTCTCAATGGCAGGATGTTCCAAGAGGTGACTAGGGGTCCCTGACAGAAGGAGGAGCCTAACAGGATGTGGATACCTCCCGGCCCTGCAGGGATCTTGAGGTCTTCCTCTCAATTCCTTCTGCACCCAGCTACAGTTTGACATAAAGCTTTAAAAGAAAAAAGACCAGAAAAGCCAAAATCATTAGCGTTTTGCAGAGTAAGCCCTGTTTTAGTCCAGGACCAGCTTTAAAAGAAAAAGACCAGAAAAGCCAAAATCATTAGCCTTTTGCAGAGTAAGCCCTGCTTTAGTCCAGGACCAGGTAACACCCATCATTAACTGAGCATCTGCGATGTCCCAAGTGCAGCCCTGGGGTGAGGTGGTTTGCATTCAATACCTCATCACAGCAAAACCCTCCCAAGTGTCCGTTTGGCAGATGGGGAAGTTGAGGCTCAGGAAGGCCCAGGGTCACGCAGAACTGCACCTCTGTCCTCACCCAGCTCCTGCTGCTTCCCTTCTCTGTCTACAGTTTATTGAGTGCCTCATGTATACCAGGGACTGGACGGCAGTGACTCCTTTGCTCCTGTCACACAGCATGAGGACATGCATGGTCAAAGGAGGAAATTGAGCCACGCACAGGGCGGGTGGGGAGGAGCGTGGCCACACACCGAGAGACTGGAGCAGTGCGCCTCCTCGTCCGCCTCTCGCGGCCTCCCCTCATCCTTGCCCTGAGGTGCATTTCCCGTTGGAACGAGGCTCTGCTGCCTGCTAAGTAGGTTAGGGCCCTGGCAAGGCTAGCGAGCCCCATAAATCAGGCCTGGCTCTCCCACCCCCCGCAGCTGACCTTGCATTTTCCCTGCCTGCCGGCCCACGAGGGACCTGATGGGGGCGGGGGGGAGAGAAGGAAATAATTAGAACACAGCTCCCAGAGGAGGCTGGGGCCGGGCGGGTCAGGGGGCCTCGTGGCCAGTCAATTCTTGTCTGCTGCCTAATAGTCCCCGGGGGCCTCTGGGAACAGAGCTCTGGCAGGGGCACCCCAAGCGGGGCCAGCAAAGCTCCAGCTGTGGAACAAGTGCTGTGAAGTTGGAGAAGACCCTTCTCAAGCAAGAAGGAGACAGGCCTGGGTGGCCAGGGAGCAGCTGCCAGGGCATGGGGGACCTAGACAGGGCTCAGACCAGCCCTGTTTATTGTTTGGTCCCTTATCCCCCTCCCACTGCCAGCCAGTGCCCAGATTCCTCTCCCCAGCAACAGACCCTGCCTCTGTGAGGTGCATAAAACACGTATGATCCATTAACAAGGATTTCAAGCACATGCGTTTATGTAACCACCGTCCAGGGCACGAAATAGAGTGGAAGCTGCCCCAGGGTGTCATCCCTCCCCTGTCTCACCCCTGTCTTCCCACTGAAGATGGACTCTCAGCCCAGGATAATGCTTACAGATGTTTGGGTGTCACAGCTGGGGAGGCAGGTGGCTGCTCCTGACATCTAGGGAGTCGGGGTTCGTGGATGCCGCTCAGCACCCCGTGGTCCACAGAGCAGCTCGCCCAGAGAGTGAGCCCGCCCCCGTGTCAGTAGAGAAGAAGCCCTGACCAGAGCTAGTCACTGTCCATGAGATGGGTTGGACAGCGAGCGGCACAGTGGGCTGCAGCGGGACAGAGATTGCGAGGCCGGCACCACATAGGGCAGGCCCGGATCTGTCGTTCATAGAGCTTCTGTGAGTCATAGTCAATGTGATGACAGCTGACAACTACAACAGAGGTGGCCACAACCACACCACACCCAGCACCATTGGGGTCACCATTTCTTAGCCTTTTTTTCTCTCATTTTCCCACCTACACATGCATCCTTGAACCCTAGAATTTATTTAAAATAAAAAAAAATTAAAAAACAACAACCTTTTCCAGGGGAGCTCTCATGGCCTTGTGGCAAGAAGCTGCACTGCAGTCTCAGAGGTGCATGGTTCGAATCCACCAGATGGTTTGCTGGAGAAGGAGGGACAATCTTTTGTACCAGTCAGATCCCATTTGCGGGTACACACACATAAAATAATAAAATTTTTTTTTAAAAAAAATAAGCACAACCCAACTTTTCCTAACTTAGAAAATAAAGCAAACCAAGTTGTTGCCAACAAGTTAAGGCCCTCACGGGGACCCCGCGTGCATCTGAATAGAACTGTGCCCCGTGGGGTTTCCACTGGCTGGTTCTTCATGTGGGTCACCAAGACTTTCTTCTGAGGGACATCTGAGTGGACTCAAACTTAAGCAAGGGACACTATTCCACACCACACCTTCTCCAGTCCACAGTGTGTTGTGAGGTCAGCACGTATCACTGTGGGTAAGGATGGCCATTCTCTTTCACTGCTGTTTAATATTCCATGTTAATATTGTCTGGCACGGTTTCCCTGTCTGCCTTCCCGCTGCCAAGCATTTAGGCTCATCCGGTGTGCAATTCCTTCACAAACCGCTGCCCGCCTCCTCGTGGAAATGTCCCCCAGGTGCTAGCGAAAGGATGTCTATAGGCTATAAACTCAGAAGGAAGAGTTTTTAGATCCTAGAGTTTTCACTGGTCAGCTGCACTGGATCCGGCCGGGATGTTCTCTGTCCTGCACAGAACGCCTGCACCAACTGCGTTCAGCACTCCCATGGCTCTGTGTCCTCACCAACACTGGGTGATGTCAGCCCTTTCAGTTGGCCAACAGGGTGTGTGCAGGTTAGGATCTCATTGAGGTTTGATTTGTGATTCCCTAGATGTTGATGGAAGAAGTCCTAGTGGTATAGTGCGTTACAGGCTGGGCTCCTAGCTGAAAGGTCAGTGGTTGGGCCAGCTCCTCAGCAGAAGGTTGGACAGTGCCTCCTGTAAAGATTTATGGCCTGAGAAACCCAGTGAAGAGTCACCATGACTTAGAGTCAATGCTGCTTTGGGCTGGCTTGGTCCAGGGTGCTGGGTTTGCTTTGGGGCTATGATTGAGTCTCTGTTCCTTCTTAGATTAGTCTAACTCATGGGAAATTGCCATTTTTATTGATCGAAGGATCTAAATGTCAGCTGTTTCCCTTTGCTTCAACATAATTTATAAAAGGGAGCTCTGGTGGCCGAGTGGTAAGAAGCTTCACTGCAATCCCAAAGGCACACGGTTTGAATCCACCAGCTGCTTCATACGAGAAAGATGGACTGTCTCCTTCCACGTGATTTACTGCCTCTGAAAACCCACTGCAGGGTCAGCTATGAGTCAATCCCAGCTTAACAGCACACAACAAAAATCGATTAAGCTCTCCAGAGAATCTCGTTGTAGTGAAACAACACACATTATAAACTCTGCTATCTTAACCGTTTTTAAATGTGTAACTCAGTGATAATTGATGCCTTTGAGCTGTGGTGCTGGGGAAGAGTGTTGACTATCCCATGGACTGCTAGGAGAACAAACAGGTTTGTCCTGGAGAGGGTGAAGCTGGGCTGCTCTTTGGAGGCAAAGATTCTGAAGCTCCGTCTGACGTACTTTGGACATGTTGCAAGTAGGGACCGGTTCTTGGAGAAGGACATCATGCTTGGTAGGGTGGAGGGACAGCGCAGGAGGGGAAGGCCCTCTATGAGGTGGATTGGTTCAGTGGCTGGGGTAATCGGGGTGGGTGTGTCGGAGACAGTGCAATTGGCCCAGGGCAGAGCAGAGTTTAGGGCTGTTGTACATAGGGTCGCTATGAGTCGCAAGTGACTTGATGGCACATAACAACAACATGTGGGATCCTACGATATTTGTCCTTTTGTGTGGCATCTGTCAAGAAGTCAAAAGATGTATTGCATCAGGGAAACCTGCTGTCAAGAACCTCTTTCAAATACTGTCGAGCCAGAATGTTAGCTGAAAGATGAAGGCATGCCTGAGCCAAGCCGCGGTACTTTCAGTTGCTTCTCGTACATCTGAAAGGTGGACAGTGGATAAGGAAGACTTAAGAAAAACTGAGGATAAGACAGGGTTCAGATCCGTTGCTCATGGGGTGTCTGTGGGTCACACTCAACCACACCTAACAACAACCGCAAGAAAAATCAGTGCCTTTGAATTGTGCCGTTGATGAAGAGTATTGAATATACCACAGACTGCCAAAAGCACAAACAAATCTTTCTAGAAGGAAGTGCAACCGGAGTCTTCCTTAAAGGAGAGGATGGTGACATTTTGTCTTTCTTACTTTGGGCATGTTATCAAGAGGGGCCTGTCCTTGGAGAGAGACATCGTTCTGGGAAAGATAGAGGATCGGCAAAAGACAGGAAGCCCTTCGGGTGAGGGATTAACTCAGAAACCGCCACAGTGAGCTTGAGCAGGACAGAGATGGTGGGGAGGGTGCAGCATAGAGCAGAGGTCCAGTCTGTAGCTGATAAGGTCACTATGAGTCATAGTCAACTCCATGATACCTAACAATTTCACTAAAGGACAGTGTTTCCGGTTTTGTTGTGGTTTATCTTGGTTATCTAGTGCTGCTGTATCCAAGGTATTATAAGGATGGTGTCTTGGTGTCTTTTAGAAAGAGAAATTTATTCTCTTACCATTTGGGAGACTGGAAGTCCAAAATCAAGATACTAGCTGTTGTTGTTGTTGTTATGTGCCGTCAAGTTGCTTGTGACTCATAGCAACTCTGTATACAACAGCTCTGAACCCTGCTCTATCCTGAGCCAACCTCACTGTCTCTGACACACCTATCTCTATTACCCTAGTCACTGAGTCAGTCCATCTCATCCGGGGTCTTCCTCTCTTTTGCTGTCTGTCCACCCTTCCAAGCATGATATCCTGCTCCAGGGATTTGTCCCTCCTTGCAACATGTCCAGTGTATGTCAGATGAAGCCTCAGAATCTTTGCCTCCAAGGAGCAACCTGGTTTCACCCTCTCCAAGACAAAAGTGGTCTGTTTTCCTAGCAGTCCATGGCATATTCAATACTCTTCTCCAACACCACAACTCAAAGGCATCAATTCTTCTTCTATCATCCTTAGTCATTGTCCAGCTTTCTGATGCATACCAGATAATTAGTAGTTGCTTATTAAATGGACTGCCAAGAGAAGAAACCGTTCTGTCCTGGAGAAGGTGAAACCAAGCTGCTCCTTGGAGGCAAGGATTTTGAGGCTCCCTCTCACATACTTTGGGCATATGGCCAGGAAGGATTGGTCCATGGAGAAGGATATCATGCTTGATGGGAAGAGGGACAATGCGGTAGAGGAAGATCCTGGATGAGATGGATTGATACAGTAATGGGGTAATAGGAATAGGTGTGTCACAGACAGTGAGATTGGCTCAGGATAGAACAGGGTTCAGAGCTATTGTGCAAGGGGGTCACCATAAGTCGCAGGTGACTTGAGGGCACCTAACAACAACGGGCCAGGCGCTGATCTCAGCATTGAGGAGTCGGATTTAAGCATTCCCTCCTCCCATTGGCTGTGCTGTGCCCACGCTGCAGGGTTCCTAAACTGCTCTGCTCTCTCAGCATCAGCTCCTCAGCTGCCCGGGTCCTTCCACCCAGCACTCACCTTCCCCAGGATGCCAGCCCTACCAGCCGCTAACGCTCTCATTTTCAATCAAGCACCGAGAATGAGGACATGAGTTGTGACCACACCGATCAGAGGCTGGCTCCTGCAGAGGCCAGCACAACGCTGGACGTGGGTCATTCGACACACCCCACTGAGGGAGACGCAGACCGTGAGACTGTAAACAAATGTGACAGAGAGTGTGCCGTACATGCTGGGGCTAGGCTGAGAACAGACTTGGTAAGGAGAGTCACAAGTGTCATGAGGCAAGAATGTAAATGGGGCGTTGGAAAGACACTGCTGAGCAAGTGGTGACCAAGCCAGGCCATTGAAAATAAAGTTTAAAACAAACAAAACAGCAACAAAAAAACACACCACCTCATGGGAAGGGGAAGTCCTAGAGTAGAATGTTCCAAGCAAAGGGAACGGCCTGTGCAAAGGCCCTGGGGTGGGTTGGAGCAGGGGGTGGTGGAAGAATGAGGACAAGGAGATGTTGGTGAAGTGTTCAGAGCCTTGTGGGACACAGCAAAGACTTTAGCCTTTGCTCAGAGAGTAGAAGGAACCACAGAAGGCTCCGAGCAGAGGAAGGGGATGCCCTGGCACGGGTACTCACTGGTGCCCTCTGGCTGCCAAGCTCATTATTTGTCCTCCAGTACATCTCAAATGAGCGTCTAATAGAGTCAACCTCCTGCAGTTACCAGGAACTGGGTTCTGTGCTAGCAAGATCTGGTCACACCAGAAACATAATCAACAGAGGAGCTAAGTCAGAGGTTGTTGCTCGTCCAGACAGACGTGACCTTGCCCTAGTTTCAGGTGAGGCAGGTGGAGGGAGAGTCCATGTACCCCAGAGAGCACTTACCAATACAGGGAAGGGGATGAAGTTGTCCTCAGTGCCTAGCACCGGGGCTGCTCGTGTTTTGTTCTTGTTGTTAGGTGCTGTTCAGCCAACTCTGATGCATAGCGATTTTATGTACAACTAACTGCATCCCTGCTACATCCTGTGCCATCCTCCCAATCTCAACTGTCCCTGAACCCATTGTTGTTGTCACTGTGTCAGCCCGCCTCACTGAGGGTCTTCCTCTCTTACACCCACCCTCTGCGTCACCAGACATGATGTCCTTCTCCAAATGCTGGCCCCTTCTGGCAACATGCCCAAAGTATATCAGGCAAAGTTTCATTGTTCCTTGCCTCTAAAAAGCACCCTGTTTGCACTTAGATAGATTTGTTTATTCTTTTGGTGGTCCATAGGATATTTGCAGGAGAATGATGGACCTTCATCTCCCGGGCGAATTACAGCCTCTGAAAATCCTCAGGAGGGAAGCTGTGAGTCAGTTCCAACTTGAGAGCACATAATAACATAACAATGGGATAGTCAGTTCTCATTTCCAACGTCACAACTTAAAGCCATCAATTCTTTGTTCTTTAGTATTCATAGTCCAACCTGCACATGCATATGAAGCAAGGACAAATACCATAGCGTGGAGTGTGTGCACCTTAGTCTTTAAAGTGACATCCTTGCTCTAGCACTTTAAAGAAGACCCTGATAGCAGGTTTGACCATGTTTGGGAGACAGAAAATAGCAACGATGTCTTACCCAGAAGATCCAGCAAGTCAGAGTATCTGGGGGCCACACTCATTACCAAAAGAGATATGGTCACCCCAAACTTTTCTGAGAGCACAACTTTGATCCTATGGAAAAAGGCAAACTGTCCTGATGGTGATTTTTTGTAAAACTTTGCTGCCATCTGCTGGACAGCCCTAATCACAACATCAAGTGTCTCTCAGACTGGGTGGGAGTGAACACCCAGCATCTTACCTGGCAGTCCTGTTACCTCTTCTGATGGACCACCTGCTCTTAGGGACCTTGCCAGAGGTCTCACACCCCAGTGACCCTGGGTTCACAGCAGCTCTGGCACCCCCTTGTTTTTCTCCCCTCATAGGTGCTGCGCTATTTTGACTACGTTTTTACGGGCGTCTTCACATTTGAGATGGTGATCAAGGTGAGTGACCGTGTGATGGAGGTAAGAGCTGAGCTTCTGAACACTCGAAGGCAGCCTGATGCAGAGAGCTCTCCTGGAGATTACAAATGTCCGACGTGCTTGAGGGGGCAGGAGCCCTGGTGGTACACCTGCTTGAACATTGGCTGCTAACCGAGTTAGCCAAAAAGGTTGACACTTTGACCCTACCATCTACTCTGTGGGAGACTTGAAAATCCTGTAGGGCAGTTCTTGTGTGCCTTGCAGGGGCCAGGAAGTTGCAACTGGCTAAAAAGAATGAGGCCCATATGGCTGGAGTGGGGTGAGCAGGCGGAAGTACATCCAGGGAGAAGGTTGTACAGGACCGTGTCCTCTGGGAGGACCCAAACTTTTGACCTGATGTTTTACTGGGAGCCCTGGAGGGAATTAACCTGACTCACGTGCTCACGGGCGCCCCTAGCGGTTTTAGAAGGAACTGGCTGGGTACTGAACCAGATGGGAACAGGTAAGGGCGGGACCAGATGAGGACTTGAGGACCAGGACAGGTGCACCTCGGTGGGGTGGGCCGAGGGGTCTGAGTGCCCTCTTCTCCCGCCACAGATGATCGACCTGGGGCTGGTCCTGCATCAGGGCGCCTACTTCCGCGACCTCTGGAACATTCTCGACTTCATTGTGGTCAGTGGGGCCCTGGTGGCCTTTGCCTTCACGTAAGTCTCCTCATGAGGCCACCACTTGCCTCTGGGTCCCCCCCACCCCCGTCAAAGCCTGGGACATCTCCCTTGAATCAGGGGACAGTGGCTCCTGGCTGCGGGAGGCTCAGCATGCCACCAGGAAGAGCTTTTTGCATGATGCCAGCGTGGAGGGAGGAGGGGCAGGGTGGCCTCTGCCTCCTCCTGCAGCAACAGGCCCCAGCTCGTCGCCGGCCTCTTGCTGTGCAGCTTCGTAGACTAGACTCGCCGACATCTCATCCCCTTCCTCTCGGCGGCCCCCACCAACCACTGTCTCCTGGGGACCCCCTGGAAAGCCATCAGGAAACAAATGTGCATGAGGTTTCCTACCCCAGCCTGTGCCTGAAGCCCCACAGTTGTATACCTGGTGCCCCGTGCGTCTCACTGCCCCTGGCATCAGGGCTCCGCCTTCACAGAGGCGACTCCAGGAAGGCAGCCTTGGGCCCTACACCTTACAGCAGACTTAGCTTATGTTCCCCAGCATAGACATTTGGAGCAGGGGGAAGAGATCCCATAAGCCCCTATTTCAGAAACAAATCCTTTTGCGTAAACTGAACACCACATTGGTCCATCCCCACAAAGAAAGGTGTCAGGGAAGTTGTGGTCCCCTCTCAGCTCTTGTGAGAAATCAGGGGCATCCTCTCTTTAGATCCAGTTTGGGTGGGTCTTTAAATGGTCACCTTGACCAAAGTATGAGGCCTTGGCTTGTCAGAATGCCACAGTGCTGGCCTGTTTCCAATTAAAGGGCCATAGTGGGCTGTTCTGGGTCACCTCCCTTGGATCATAATAAGGATATTTTGTGTCAGAAGAATAAGAACTCTCTAGAATTTCTGGAAACCTTGAGCCTGAAAGAGATGGACAGTGAGAGGCAGAAAACGGGTTCCGATTTCCCCATCTATACCTTTTACTTCTCCAGTATCTGTTCTTTTTCTCTTTTTTGGTATGTCCCCACCACCCCCTCCTTTTCTTTCATTTTTTAATAAATGGAAGAGTCTGTGTTAAGGAGGGGGGAAGTCAGGAAGTTGGGATATTCTATAGGTAAAGCATTCAAACAAGGTAAAATATAAATTAAAGAGGAGTTTGTCCCAATGAAGACAAGGAGCTAATGGCCTTAATATATAAAAAGCAACAACAAATCAACAACAAAATGCTAAACTTCCATAATAATGGGCAAAGGCTGTTGAAAGGTAGTTAGTTCACACGACAGTGACAGCCAATAAAAATGAATACTAAAATCCACCTCATTGGAGCTCAAAGACACAGGAAATAAAAACATGCTGAAATTTGCAACCTAGTCCTAAACCTAGTCTTCTTTCTCACAAAGATGTAAAGATTAAACACATGCCTCTGGAAACTCTATGAACTTTGATAAATGTCTGTAGTTGTAGAGGGGCTTCAGGCCTTTTGTTCATAGGGCCGCTATGAGTCATGCTTGACTCGAAGGCAATTGACAACAACGTCATATGCCAGTGTAGTGAAAAGAACCCTCCCTTTCTCTCCAGCAGCTGTTTGAGTGGCTTCTGCAGGTTGTAGGTGGGCACCATGCTGGGCATTGAGAAAGTTGAAATTCTGGTCAAGCTATTAACATTAACTAGAACATACCAGAAGTCGGCCGTGTGTCAATCTGTCTCCTGAGGAAATAACCTTCCAATGTTTCTCTTGCTCAATATCTGTTTGTCTGTCTCTCTCACTCTCTCTCTGCCCCCACCCACCCCTTTCCCACCTTCCTTTCTGTTTCTGCCTCCATCTCTCTCTTTTGCTCTTTTCCCCCTCCTCCTTCCCCTGGTCATTCTCTGTGGTCCTTCGTTTCTCTCTCCCTCTGTGGCCACAGCCTCTGTCTGATGTTTGTCTCTGTTTGTTGTCTCTCCCTCTCTTTATCTCACTCTCCTTTTCCCCTTTCTTTCTTCCCTCAGTATTTTTATTTCATTCTGTAGTCAGGGAAGCCATTCAAGGACTCCCCTCATGCCCCATGTCTATTTTTCATGGTCTCTCTCTGAACGTGTCTCCTCTCTCCCCCCTCCTTTTTTTTTTGTTTTCCTATAATATTCTCTCTCCTCTCTCTCTCTTTCTCCCTCTCCCATGCTTTTCTTTCTCTTTTTCACTCTCTATGCTTCTTGATTTATCTTTATCTCCCCTCTCTATCTGTCCTTCTATCTCTCTGCCTCTCCTCTTTTCTTCATCTCCTCCTCCTCCTCCCTTCTTCCTCCTTCCCTGCATCCCCTCTCTCTCTCTCTTTCACACACACACACACCTTCATCTTCCTTTCCTTCCCACCATACCCCAGCCTATGCCTTTGGAGAGAGAACCTGACCACCTTCCTCACCTGAGCCCTGGGTTTCCGGCTCAGTGTGGCCTGGAGCAGATGGGCATCCGGGGGTTCTGGCAGGGTGGCCTTCAGATCTGGACAGAGCCCAGGACACGGGGGGAGGGGGAGGTGCCGACGGGACTGCTCTCTCCCTTCCTTGGGCCTTTTGTCCCAGGGTCTGCACAGCAGCTGCAGGTGTCTCAGGGCCCAGGAGGTGGCACTGAGTGAACGCCCAGTTGTTAACGGCTGGGCGCTGGGCAGTGAGTTTGCCTGGCATGAACCCACTCAGTGGTTGTAGGGAGGATAGCATGGTGGACTAACCCCCATCTGAGAAGAAAACCTCGGGCTGTAGGGCAGGCAGCCCCAGCCTTACCTCCTGCTCCACTTTGGCTTCCAGTGTGGGAGGGGGTGGCCTTTGAAAGACCAGAGAACAAACCTTTCACCTTTGACCTTATGTCTTCAAAGGAAAGATTTTAAAATCACTCCATTTCTAGGCTTTCTGGAGTTAACAAATAGGTTCTGCTTTAAGCTTTGGTGGGCCTTAGTGTATTCCATGTTGTGCTGCTAATCTAAAGTTCACTGGTTCGAATCCATTGACCACTACACGGGAGAAGGACAGGCCTCCCCTCTCCTTACGGTTTCTGGAGTTGGAAACCCATGGAGGGTCTCTCTGAGTCAGAATCGACTCGATAGCAGTAGATTTTACATAAATCTAGAAAGAAAAATCCAATCTCTATCAAGGGGCTGGTTGAAAGAAGGACCCTGCCACAGGGAGCTGATTTCTCACATACCTCAGTTCTCTTTTTAAATAGGAAGTTGTACGAGAGCATTAAAAACAAGGCTACAGCTTTCCGAAATGCACGTGTTCCCTGCTAGTCAGCCTTGTAGGCTGGAAGTCAGGGCAGCGTGGAGCCACCTGTTTCCCGAAGAGCCCTGTCTGGAATGACTTTAATTCAGATACTAGGAAAAGGGAGTCCTGGTGTCATGGTGGTTAAGGACTGACTTCTAACCGAGTGGTCAGTGCACTGAACCGCTGGCCTCTCTGAGGGAGAAATGACCTGGTGTTTTACTCCCATAAAGACAGTGTGAAAGCCAGGAGGGGGCCACTCATTCCCCAGGGTCAGTGTGGGTCAAACTCGAGTCCAGAGCTAACAACAACATGCAAGGAGAGGAGCAGGACTCGAATTTGAGACCACCCACCCCACCCCTGCCCCAAGCGCCCGAAGGAGGTGTGACATTTTGCCAGTGAATTCCACATTGGTCCAAGGACTCTCGCAAGGTTTCAGCAGAGCTGAGAAAGAAGATTAGCTAAGGAACATCTTTATGCAACTGGCAAGAGGATAGGAAGGGAGACCCTGAGACTCCCACGCACACACCTGTCATGCCCTCCCCAGCTCACTGCTAAGAATCCATCTGGTGCTGCTTCTCTTCCCCCAAGTAAAAGGCTGGAGGCCAAGCGTAGCTGGCAGCGCACCTGGATCAAGCGACTCCTGCATGCCAGGAAGCCAGAGAAGGAATCCTCAACCTCCTCCATTTCCCTCTAAAAAAATTTATGACTTCTCCTTCTCTAGATTCCTGACACCTCCTGCCTGTGAAAGTCTCTCCCCTTCTAAGTTCACGGTCCTTTAGATGATTGATGGTAGAAACAGGCTGCCCAAAAGCCCAGCTCCGGGTCCTTCACTTCCTTCCTTTCCAGTCTTTCAGTTTGCTCTGTCCTGTGTGCCTGTCTATCCACATACAAGACCGAGGACCCCAACAGGTACTCGGCTAGCCTTACTGTTCTAGGAAAAGGCTCCCACCAGTCTGTGATTTCTCTTCAGCTGTTCAGTTCTCTTGTATTTATTCTTTGTTCTCGGTTTCCCTGATAGAACAGAAGATTTTTAACTTGATAACAGAACAATCAGCCTCCATATATTAGTCTCCACAGCTTCCCGTCTCAAAAGGCCAGCTCTCTTATTATCCCCATATTGCCGGTGGGGAAACTGAGGTTCAGCAGGATTGTGATAGGAAGTGAGTGCAGCACTGGGTGGGTTCATCAGACTTCCAGACCTGGCCACGGAGACATTCGCAAGTTAGCCAGATGAGAGTGTGGAGCCAGAGGGGCTGCATTCCCCGCCGTGCCAGCAGGGCCCTGTGATCCAGGGCACTTGGGGCTTTTTCCTGGAACCTGGGCTCTGGATCCCCACTGGAATCCAAGGCCGTTCCTTTCCTGGTCAAAAGGAATCTTGCTGTTCTGGCCTGTAGGGCTGGAGGCAAGAATTCCACCCCTGGTGCTGTGATTCTCGCTCCCCCTTGAGTATGGTTCTCCAGGGGGCGGCGTCAAAGCTCTCCAGACAGTTTCCACCCCTCTTGCACCTTCCCCTGCCCCCGAGGATCTGTACGTGTGTCCTGCTCCATCCACTTGACTGTCCCGTGTCCATGGCAACCACCATCAACACATCATCTCATGAGCCATTGTACATGATATCACGCTCCGTGCCCATGCGTCAGGCAGCCAACTGACATCTCTCAGCAGCTGGCAGATCATGATCCTGCCCTCACTGCCAAGAGTCCATCTGGTGCTGCCAGGCCTCCCCCCGGAGCAGGACGGCAGCCCAGCACAGCTGGCCACGCACCTCGACCAGGCTGCTCCTTGCCTGTGCTCTGGCGCCAGATCGCCCCAGAGCCAGAAAGAGCTCTTGGGCTGCTCCCTTTGTACCGCTGTCCTCAAAAGAGTCCCTGCCCCAGAGGCAGGGTTGCTTTTTTTTAATGTGTCTGATTAAATGTAAACAGCTTAGAGGACAAGTTCTACCCACCCCTGGGCTTGAATCTTGGACTGCTCCTTCTTGGCTGTGCCTCCTTGGGCAAATGTCTTGCCTGCACTGAGTCCTTAGTGCTCTCATCTGGAAAATGGGCTTAGTTAGGAGAGCTCTGGTGGCCGAGTGGCAAGGAGTTGCAACTACAATCCCAGAGGCGCACGGTTCAAATCCACCAGGTGCTCTGCTGGGGAAGGAGGGACAGTCTCCTCCTGTACCAGTCAGATCTGATTTGACGGTATACTCACACAAAAATAATAACATTTAAAAAAAAAAAAAGAAAAAGGAAATGGGCTTAGTTGTGCCACCTTGCCACAGGTACATGCAGTGCTGTTCAGAAAGACTAGTGCTTTTCACCCGCGGGCAGCAGATTAGCCTGTGGCCGCTAAAGGTCCTAGACTCTGTCGCTAACCCTCTCCACAGTTCCCCTGTGCATATGTCCTAGATACACTTAGCTTGAAAAGGAGCATGCTTGACCAAAGGAGCAAGAGAAGGGACCCAAAGCGAACATTTTTAGCCAGTGGGAAGGAGTCCTAGTGATAACAGCAGTTAAATGCCCGGCAGCTGTCCAAAAGGTCAGAGGTTGACACCGAGGGCAGCCTCCCTTTGGGAGAAAAATGTAGCCCTCTGCTTCTGAAAAGATGACAGCTTTGGAACCCTATGGGGCAGTTCAACTTTCAACTCCATCCTTTGGAGTCCCTATTAGAATCAACTTGATGGCAGTAGGTTTGGTTTTAAAGCCGTTGTGTCTCTTAAAAATGTATCACTAACTGGGAAGGGTCAGTCTTTGGAAAAGGACATCATGCTTGGAAGGGTCAGCAGAGGAAGGGAAGACCCTCAGTGAGTTAGACTGGCACAGTTAACAGTACCTGTGGACTCGAGCGTGTCAGAGCTGCTCCAGGTGGCACAGGATAGGACAGCATTCAGATCCCTCACTCGTAGGGCTCTATGAGTCATGGTCGACTAAACAACAGCCAGGAAAGGGGGCAGTGCAAACAGTGAGGAGCCTTGACCACCTGCCTGGCGACCGGCCTTCCACCATGCTGATGGACTTCCTAGCCTCCTTGATGTCCGGCCATGAGGACCAAGCGTGAGCTCAGAGATGAGGTGGGCCACCAAGTGCCAAGAGCTTTCTCCAGTTTTTATTAGAAGTTTCCACCCAATTCCATCCTAAATTGGGTTTCATACCCCCTCCCTTAAACTTATGGAGGGAGTCAAAGCCAGAACCACCATTTCTTGAGCCTCAGAACCCCCAGCCCTGTTTTACTGATGAGAGCAATAAGCAACAGAGCTTAGATCCAAGCCCAGGTCCCCCAGCTCCCAGCCCGCACAGTGTTCTGACTTCCTCGCACCACAACCTCTGGAGGAAAGAGGCCTCCAGCTCTTGGCAGTGACCTTCAGTGGCAGACTTGCCTTTTGGTAAATGACAACATTCTGGCTGCCCTGCTACTTGGAGACTTGGCTTTCTTGGTGCTGTCAGGCAGCGCCAAGGGCCTGCCGAGGGCGGGGGATTACAGGGGGAGGGCCTCCAGGTGGAAGGATGGACGTGGGCCAGAGCCCAGGCCTGAGGCGGCCCCTCCGGAGCCTGGGCAGACGGGGTGAAGGGGGTGTGCGTGTCTGCGTGTGTTCTGTGTTCTTTCTTCTGAGGCCACTTACGTACGATCTGTCTCTCCCTCCGACGCCACGTCACCCAGGAGCAGCACACGGTAAAGTCTGTCTCTTTCTCTTTCTCTCTCTGTCTGTCATTTTCACGTTCGCTATGCCCTGGCACAGACACGTTGATGCTGGGCCTGTTTCACAGCCTTGTGTCTCTGCTGCCGCCGTCCTGTTGATCCAAGTGACCAGGGCCTCGTCCACCTGCTCCCTGAGGAAGGGAGAGCCCTAGGCGGGTCTTGATCCTACCTACCTCCCTTAGCTAGGTTCTTGGCAAAGGAGAGAAGGGGCAGGAAGCGAACTCCTCTGGGTCTGTTGTCAGTAGGGCAGACAAGCCCCGGTAGGGCGGCTCTCAGGAACAAATATCTCAGGCTCCAGAAATCCCAACAGCTGAGACGTGTCCGTCAAAGGGGTATGGACGGAGGCCTGGAGGAGTACACACACCCTCGGCAGAGGGGGACTCACATCTGGTGACCTCCTGTGGGCACGTCTGTGCTTTCTGTAATGCCGCTGCCAACAGGGTTCTTTCTCAGCCTCTGTAGGGTGGGGAGCCACCCTCTGACACCGTAGAATCATTTTCAGGTCAGTGGCTATGCTGCCACCCTGCCCAGGCTGTGTTCCGTAACACAAGCTGCCTGGCACCCCAAGACCTTACCCAGTTCCACATACAACCCAGGTAGCCACTTACTTGATGTGTTTTCTACCAACATGTGGATTAAATTTTAGTTTCTTCTGTGCAAGGAAACTTCCTTTTGGAAAGAGCCAGTACTGGTCAGCTGACGCAGAAGGCCAGAGAACAATACAGCAGAAGCGACCTTCAAACTGGACTCTTTCTGAAAAAGGAGGGGAAAGTAGCACAGTCTGTAGGGCACTAACTCAGAGATCTGGGTCCACCAGTGACCCTGAAGGCAAAAGATGGGCAGTCCCTTCTCTGTGTGATTCACAGCCTTGGAAATCTGCTGGAGGGTGAGCTGTGAGTCGATTCTGACTCGCTGGCACTGAGGTTTGAGTGAGGCGTTAAAGGCGAAACCCACTGAAGGCTCTCACTGACAAAGCAGAAACCCAAAAGATGCTTGAAAAAGAAATTCCCTGTTCCCGGTATGACCCAGTTCCTTTGGTTCTGTGTCTGCTTTGGAGGCACAAGCATAAGAGAATGATGGCTCCAGTTCTAAATTAATATTCAGACCACTGAATCCTTTATCATGTCTGTGCATTATATATAAATATCATTTTTTTCCCTGCCAAGTCTGCTTCTCCTATTTATTCCTCAGAAGAAAAATAAAAGGGAATAGTGTAAAGCATAAGGCATGAAGAATGCTTTTTCACCTACGTGTCACGGGGCGGGGGTCTCTGGTCTCTGGGGCAGCTTGTACCCCAGAGGTACCCATAGGGAAGCACTGCTAGGAAAGCCCCAAAGACTGTCTCATGCAGGACTCCAGCGATATGTGAGACAAGGAACGAGATTAAAGGAGAAATGAACACTGGCGGGATATGGCAAAGATGAAGGCCTCGAGGAGTTTTCTGTCCAAAGTGGAATCCGGAGACAGAAGCAAAAGATGATTCCAGATAGCAGTCAGGGCTGGTGGGAGGCAAGGGACTGGGAGGTTGGGAAGACAGTGGATAAAGGGACATTTACTCTGGGAATTCTGTGCATGAAAGGGGCTGGGCATTTCTGCCAGTGGGAACAATATCTGCCAAAGTAGATAAAAACAGAAGAGTGTGGCTTGGGGCTGGGGTTGAGCGCTGATTGAGAATGGAAAGGTAAGCTGGGCTCGATTCTGACAAGCCCCAGGAGCCTACTGAACTTGTTCTTGTAGGAATTAAGATTCTCTCGGGGGGATAAGTAAGGATGTGGCTGGCCACTGGCTTTGGCCACTGTATACAGGAGAGAGAAAGGGAGAAGGAAGAAGTCAGGAGATGGATGTAGAGGGTTGAGCGAACATGCTGACCATGGACAGATGGTTGAGATGATCAGGGGTATGGCAGGGCACTGACCAAAACTATCTGGTTTGGGCAGCTGGGTGAGTGGTGAATTTCATTAACTATAGCACATTGTTTGCCATGCCCTAACCCTCCTTCTCCCAGGGAGGACTGAGTCAAGGCAGGCCAGACAGATCCTGAACGAATGCCTGTTAAGTAGCTCCCTGGCAAAGATGGACTAAGACTCCTCAGGAATGAGGCAATGGTTCAACAGAAGCCTTGATGATACAGTTCTTTCCTCCCCTGTGGGGTCAGAGAATGGTGGAGAAAAGAGATCTTGATTCATTGGACACTTTAAATAAAGCATGTTCGTGAATCCTCCTGGAAGGGGCCATATCCCGCAAGGACCACCCCCAAAACCAGCATGAAGGGGACACCCAAATAGTAGGGGATAGGGAAGGGTCAGTAAGTGCCTTTTCCCTGGGTTTAAAGCCGCTCTTTGCAGCTGCCCAGGCTCTGCCAGGTGGCAGAGAGGCACTTGCAGTTCCAGGCCGGTGCCTGCCAGCTCTCCTTCAGCAAAACCTGAGACAGACTAGAACCACAAAAAGCCATCTGCTCGCTCAGTCCCAAGTCCAAAATTAGCAGGTGGACTGGACCACTCTTCTCGAGAGAAGTTCAGGGCTATACCAGACACCCCAGACTCTTGAGCCTTGGAGGGGGAGGATCACGTGGAGCTGCAGGACCCCCAGCATAAAACCTAACCTTGCTCCTTTTCTTCCCTTCTCTCCACCCTAACATCCCTCCACAGTGGCAATAGCAAAGGAAAAGACATCAACACAATTAAATCTCTCCGAGTCCTGCGGGTGCTACGACCTCTTAAAACCATCAAGCGGTTGCCAAAGCTCAAGGTGAGACTTGGGGGTATGGTGGTATGGTCAGGGTTTGTTTTTAAAATTCATTCTGCCAAAGATTAGTAGCTGGCCAGTTATAGTAAATCTGAAATCAGTGTAGTCCCAGATGCGCACCTTGCTGTTTAAGTCTATGATTTCTAGCATCAACAGCTCCTCCTTGGTTCCGTTTCCCAGTTCCTCTGTGTCTCTTGGGTTTGGTGATTTACTGGAAGGTCCTCCAAAGACTCATACATCACTTTGGGTACGCAGGCCAGTTTTGCAGAAACTGCTGATCAGTGGGCCAAGCTGCTTGCAGCTGAATACTTAGTCCACAGAATATGATATTTCAGTCCAGACAACTTCTCATCCTCCAGCAGGCTTGGGCTAAGTCAGCAAGTCATCCTGTCGCTCCTGTGTTGAAGTCTTCACACACTCTCACAGGGTGGAAAGCGCTGTCTTATATTGGTCCCACAGCTGTTGATGATTTGCAAAACCATATGTCTGGAGGAAGCTGGAGACCATTTCCCTAGCAGGCACTAATGTAATGGATAGAAAAGCTGATTTTTAAAGTAATTTACTGACAATATAGGGTTGCTGTGTGCAATTGAACAGGGAGCGTCACTGCTCAAGCACTCTTACAAAAAAGGCTGGATTTAGGGGTGTTCCTAATAACATCATAGACATCATCCTGTTGTATGGTGCTAACAAATCCGTTCCAACTCATAGCAACCCATGGCCTGGTACCACTGTCCTCAGGATCGTTGCTATGCATCAGCCCACTGTGGCAGCCACCACCCATCTGTCTCACGGAGGGTCTTCCACTGACCCTCTACCAAACGTGATATTCTTCTCTAAGTACGGTCTCTCCTGATAATATGTCCAAAGTGTGTTAGAGTCTCACCAGCCTTGCCTCTGACAAGCTTTCCGAGTGTACTTCTTCCACGATAGAGCTGTTCATTTTTCTGGTAGTCCATAATACACTCAGTATTCTTTGTTAACACCGTAACTTGAAGGCATCGGTTCTTCAGTATTCCTTATTATCCCGCTTTCACATACATTAGGAAATTTGAAATTTGCTTGAGTCAGGGACACCTTAGTCTTCAAAATTACATCTTTGCCTTTTTTTTTCTTTTTCAAGATGTCTTTTACAGCAGATTTTCCCAATGGTCTGCATCAGTGATTTCATATTACTCGGGTAAACCATCACCTTTCTCTCACATACTTTGGATATGTTATCAGAAGGGTCAACAGGGATAGTAGAGGGTCAGTGAAAGAGCAGATGACCCTCAGTGAGTTGAATTGACACAGTGACTGCACATGAGCTCAAGCGTGTCAGAGATTGTGAGCACAGAAGAGGATAAGGCAGGATTCAGATCTGCTGTTCAGAGTCCCTCTCAGTTGTAGTAGACTGGACAGCACCTCACAGTGACCTAAGTTCAACCTCTGTGAAAGCAGCAGCCAAGAAATCAAAAGACCTATTGCATTGGGGAAATTGGCTGCCAAAACATCATTAGACTGCTAAAGAGCAAGCATGTCACTTTAAAGACTAAGGTGCATCTCACCCAAGTCATGCTGTTTTCATTTACATGTGAAGGTTGAACTATAAGTAAGGAAGACCATAAAATTGATGTCTGAATTATAGTGTTGGTGGAGAATATTGACTATACCGTGGATTGGTGAAAAAACATTTTTTTTTAATCTTAGAAGACAAAATAGGAAGCCAGAGCACTCCTTAGAGACAAAAATGGGGAGACTTCATTTCATATACTTTGGGCATATTATGTACAAGGAGGGACCAATCCTTGGAAAAATCATCATGCTTAGAAAAGTAAATGGTCGGTGAGCTCTAGTAGCCTCATGACAAGAAGTTGCACTGCAATCCCAGAGGTGCACGGTTCAAATCCACCAGATGCTCTGCTGAAGAATGAGGGGCAATCTCCTCCTGTACTAGTCAGATCTGATTTGACAGTACACACAAAAAAATAATAAAATAAAAAAATTTAAATAAAAAAGACAGAAAGAAATAAGAAGTAGATGGTCAGTGAAAGAGAGAATTCTCAACAAGATGGGTTGGTGCAGTGCCAGAAGCAGTGGGTTTGCGCACAGCAAAGTCTGTAAGGACGGGACAGGGTGAGGCGGGGTTGCGTTCTTTGGTATGTAGGATACATAAGGTTGCTGTGATTTGCAGTCAACTCAGTAAACATTTAGCAAAATGTCATTTGATTTCTTGAGTGCTGCTTCCATGAGCATCGATTGTCTATCCAAGCAATGTGAAATCATCGAGAACTTTAATCTTTTCTCCATTTACCATGATATCGTGAGGACTTTTCTTTTAAGTACAATCCAAACCGAAGGCGGCAGTCTTTGAGATTCAGGAGTCAGTGCTTCAAGTCGGCTTCACTTTCAACACGCCTCTGTACCCTCTGTGTGCTGAAGCTCGTTAATGAGTCTTCTAATTCTGATGCTGTGTCTTCTCATAAAGTCCGTTTTCTCCAAATGCAGATTTGATAAATTGTGATAAAGGAAGACAGACTTGACACACACCTTTCCTGATTCACAGTATCCTGCGTTTCATTTGGAACAACTGCCTGTTAGTCTCTGTAGAGATCCTACATGAGCAGAGCTTAGGGGTCTGGGTTTCCCATGCTTCACAATGTTGTTGTTGTGGTTATGTGCCATAGAGTCGTTTGCGACTCATAGTGACCCTATGTACAAGAGCCCTAAATGCTGTTCTATCCCGTGCCAACCTCGCTGTCTCAAATACATTCATTCCCACCACTCAACTCACAGAATCGATCCATCTCATCGAGGGTCTTCGTGCCGTCCCTCCACTCTCCCAAGCATGATGTCCCTCTCCAAGGACCAGTCCCTCCTTGCAACATGCCCAGAGTATGTCAGATGAAGCTTCAGAATCCTTGACTCTAAGGAGCATTCTGGCTTCACCCTCTCCAGGACAAACCTGTTTGTTCTTCTAATAGTCCATGGTATATTCAACACTCTTCTCCAGCACCACAGCTCAAAAGCATCAATTCTCTTTCTATCATCCCTACTTTGTCCAACTCTCTGTTGCATAGC